GACACAACCGGAGCCGGGGGGGGTGGTTCTGGCGGTCGCAGGGGGTGTGGGGATGATCCGCGCAGGGGTACGGACCTCAGCCAGTGATGGGGGCTGAGCTCTGCTGCAGGAACTGATCAGGAACATGTGGTTCTGTCAGGATCGGCAGCAGAGCGACACAGACGCCCGTCTGAACACGCCTGCAGCCTCTCGGTCCTCTTGCTAACGGCTCAGCAGGGTTTGACCTCCTGTCCTGTTTTTCTCTGCAGATCAACAGATGTAAGAAAACCTGGACTTCACAGAAACATCTCTTCAGAGCGACGGGTTGGAGGCCTGAAACCACGGAGATCAAACCTGCAGATTAGAAGAGAATGAACCCCCCCACCCCCCCACCAACAGACAATGCTAAAAAAATCTAGAAAGAAAAATCTACTTTTTTTTCTTACTTAAGCGAATGAATATCAACATGTTTTGATCATAGTGTTATATTTCCACTGCATAACAAACGTTTCAACTACAATAGAGTACAATGGCCATACAAAGAGATTTGGTTTTGTTTTATTACAGAAAAAAAAACTCATAATAGAAAAATTACTTGAGTAATTTTATGAAAAAAACTTTTTTTTTTAACAGCATAATACTTTTTACTTTTAAATGAGTATAAATATGATTAAGTATCAGTGCTCTTCTGGCTGCTCCATCCGCTTTGACTAAATTTATTTAACGTAAATCAGCTTGTTTTAATCAAATATGCATTAAGAGAAGCTCTTTGTTTTTTTGTACTGAAGGATTATTGGTTAAATGTTTTTTCCATCTATTAATTCTGCCGCGTTAAATCTGAGGTTGAGTAACAATTAAGTACAGTCTATTGTAATTTTACCACCTCTTACATACTTCAACTACTGATTTAGTACGTTTATACAACAAAAATTTTGTTTTAAGATTGCTTTTTACACCTAATTTGTTAATTCTTATTCTTTGAAACACCAGCATTTGTACATCTTTTAATATTTTATCAACTTGTACATTATTTTGTAAATTTACTGGTGAAGATTCTCAGTCATCATGGTCACAGTCTCTGGTATTAACATTAATATTTTCTGAACTATTCAGGGTTTAGTTGTTTACAGCCTGTAGGGAAACTGCTCCCCCTGGTGGTTTGAATCGTCATTGACCCTCAAAGAAGTTTGTTTTTTATGCATGTTTTTTTTTTTTTTTAGAAAAGTTGGTTGATTGTGACTGATTTTGTATTTACAGTGATATAAAATCCTATAAACGCACTTGTGGGGATCTTTGTTACCAAAATGACTAAACATTAACACAGAATTAATGATAAAGTGCATTTAATGAGCAATGATTTCTGACGATCCAGTAAAATTACAAATTTAACAAACATGTATAATATGCTGGTGAAGATTCTCAGTCATCATGGTCATAGTCAATCCAAAAAAGTTCAAAAACAATCCACTGGACTTCTCTTCCAAGTTTGAAGACGATTCAATTTGCATGTTTTCTAAGCCAAAAGAAGGCTTTGATTTTGGTCCACTCTATAAAGCCTGGAAACTCAACGCTATTTCTGACATTTTCAATTGAAAAAACCTTCCTGGATGGGAAGAGAAACTTCTTCGAAATTGGAAACAAATTCAGTGGATTGTTTTTTTTTTTTTTACTTTTTTGGAAAGAATTATTTTATAAAACATTAAATTGTTATGATCATGCTTAGTTAATCACGTCTTCACTACTTGAGTTGCCTTTTACCAAATACCTTTTTCCTTTGTTGAATAATTTCTTTAAAAGCTACTTTTTACGTTTACTTGAGTAAATATATGATGTGCTGCTCCTTTGACTCCAGTTCAATTTTTGGGCACTGTACCCAACTAATTAGAATTATGAGGTTAGAATCGTAACATAAGGAGGTTAAAGTCGTACCA